AAAAAAAAAAAAAAAAAGAATACTCAGATCAGGATCAAAGGCACAGACAGGGTCCTCCTCAGACATCAGCCATTCCAGGAAGAGAGTTGACCCTTTGATCCCTCAGCTTTTATACTGAGCATGGTGCAGACGGGATGGAATACCCTGTTGGTCAGTTTTGGGTCCCCTGTCCTGTCCACTTCTCCCCACAGGTGTCACCCCTCTACATTTTTCTGCTTCTGACCCTCCAACAGGGCAAATAACACATTTACCTGACCTTGGCTGTTATAGCAATAAGTATAAGCAAGGGCCTCTCTGCACACCATTCCTTGGTATAATCAGGTCTTATCACTGTGAGAGTGAACAGTTTCTGAACAATATCCTGTTAATTTCAGAGTTTAGTTAGTTAGAAGAGGCCCAGCTAAAAAGGTACAGAAAATTAGTTCCGTTTTACCTCAAACCAGGACAGCCCTTTACAAAAAATGTCAGGAAAGATAAGTAGGTGGAGTTCAGGTTGCTTTAGGAGTTCAGTTCCCACTTAGACTTCTTTCACTGCACCCTATTCTAGCCTCGAGGGACACTAACTGGTGCTCTGAGGTGCTGCAGGGCCCCGTTCCACTGCTAGTTCAGTGCAGATGGAAAGCCTCCACAGCAGGAGTGGCAGAGGGGTTGGAACTTGATGATCTTTAAGGTCCCTTCCAAGTCTAACCATTCTATGATTCTGTGAGTGCTTCCCTGGGCTGCTGTCACAGGCATATTTCCCCACTACCCCTCACAGCAGAGTACAGAGGTTTCCCCTGCGCGGCAGGACCGTGCCATTTGGCTGTGGAGCACTTCTCAGTGGTGTCTGTTTTACTCCTTGCAGGAGGAGCTGTTGAAGGCCATTGCCAGTGTCGTCTCTGCATGCCAGTAAGTGTCTTGAAACAGGTGGTACTCCCAGGGCCTGGGATCTCAAACAGGAGGTTGTTCCACTGTCTTGTCACCTGTCTGGTGCTCAAAGGAGAGACTAGAAGGTTGTGAACACCATCCTGATTGCCCATCAGCATGTGAGAAGTCTGTCTCTGCTCCACTTGTCCATGTGTGGGTCACTGGTGAGAGCTGGGAGGGAGGGGCAAGTGATGCTTCAGAGGGAGCTGCAGAGGTAAACAGTTGATTTAGGGCAAACAAGAGGATGTTGAGAGGGCAGACTTGCTAGGAGGAAAGATAAGACTCAGGGGAAGGATAAACACCTGAAAGAGGAAAAAGAGAGGAAGAGATAGATGAAGAGTGAGGGGGGAAAGTGCGTGGGAAGCATATGGGGAAAGACTGGAAAGAAAAGCAGGGAGAACAGACAGGGTTGGAAGAAGAGCACCGTTCTGACTTCAGTTACAGCTGTTGGTAGGCAGCTGTGTCCTGTACCTGGACACAGGAGTTACTTCCTGCCTGTGGGAAAAGCGGTGTTTGGGAAGGGATTAACATGGGTCTGATAGATCTTGTGTGCCTTGTGTTTCAGTGCAGAGCTGCTGAAGTCAGTGCCTGGCCAGCCCACCGTCAGTGACATTGTCCAGGCTGTGCTGAAGGAGTGTCGGAAGGAGAACCTAAAGTATAAGATGGTCGCCCTGCGCTGTGCGGCTGGCGTGCTCCAGGCAACAAAGGAGGACCGCTTCCAGGAGCTGGCAGATATCGTCTTTCCCATGATAAAGAAGGTGACAGTTCAGCTTCTTGAGTTTTCCCCTCTTTCAAAGCAAAACACCCAAGGTGGTGACAATCCGTCTGATGCTGTTAAGCACACGCCAGACTTCTGCCCGGGCTGCTGGTGTGAGGAGAGCCCCACACTCAGCCAGGTCCTTGGTGGGGGCTGAACACCGGACCGCTGGTGAGCCCTGGGGGGTTGTACCTGTGGCTGCCCAAAAACTAAATTGAACCCAGCTGTTGTCTCGGCAGTCCTTCCTGTGGTGTCCAGCACTGCCCCCGTACAGCACTGAGAGTTAATTCCTGGCAGCAAGGCGCTCCTGGGAAGCTGCCTAGAGTGCTTCTGTCTAGTGTCTGCAGCGCTCCGCAGCTCGGCGAGTGGGACCCGTGTAGCGCAGGGAGATGTTTGGATGCGAGGCCACGGAGCCTGCTGTGCACGGCTGCAGGCTGCCGGGAGCACCGGGGCTACCGGTGGCCAAGGGGGCCTGTGCTCCGTCGGTAGGGAGGCACTGACTGGTGCGCACGGGCTGCGAGGGAAGACTGAATTGCCCTGAAGTGTGTGGCGAGCCTTGCCCTCATCCTTCTGTCCATCACACCTTCCCCCCATGGCCTCCGCAGAACTCTCTGGAGAGCATGGGCACGGGTTTACCAAAGCGTGACGAAGAGGACGAGGACATGAGGGAGAAGGAGGTGCAGATGGAGTCCCTGATCTGCGCCTTCGAGACCCTGGGCAAAGCCTGGCCGAGGAGCCCGGAGACGCAGCGTAAGTCAGCTAACGGTGCTCAGAGCCAACTTTCTCGGCTCAAACTGTTTCCTCTTAAAATGAAAAGAGGAGGAGGGAGGGACGGACGTGGAGATCTTGGGTGGAGTGGGGAGGCTTTTGAGGAGGTGCAGGATCTCGCTGCCTGCAGCCTGCAATATCTTCAAGTGAGAAAGCTGCCCCAACAGCTTTACTGCCGAGCAGCCCGTCCTTGGGGAAATTCCTTTGCTGTTGTCTTAAATTCACCTCACAAACTGCTCTGTGTTTGTGGAGGTATGCAGGACACCTGAGGTGGCTTGCCTCATCGAAAGCAGCCTCGTTCTGCTGCTCACATTTATGTTTGCATCAAAGCTGGTACAAGGTGGAGGAACTGGGTATATCTCAAAAAAACCCTTATTATTATCATTCCAGAACGTGTAATGCAGCTGTTTATCTTCCACTGTTTGTTAATGAGAGTGTTGGTGTGGTGAAGATTTTCAGGGTCACCTGTCACAGGATGTTGACTTGGTCATATGCAGTGACCAGCTCGATGTCACTTTTAGAGGAGCAGGAGGAACAGAGCAGGAAGTGTTTCCTTTCACCTTTCCCCCTGGTAACATCCCTGTTTTCCTGTAGGTTGCTATCGCCAAGAGTTTTGTAAGTTAATGTGTGACCGTCTGAAACTCAGCACGTGGAAAGTGCAGCTTGGAGTGCTACAAGCCATGAATGCCTACTTTCAAGGGTAATTCTCTCCTTTTTGCAATCCACTTCGATGATGTTTCTTTTCTTTGTTGCTTCAACTTGTTTGATGAAATTGAGGATGACACTGGCTTCTTGGAGGAAGTCAAGCAGCTCCCGTGTCCCTGGGACACAGGGCGCCTGATGGTGTTTTTGCATTTGACAGGCTAATGCTGTTTGATGAGGAACACTCAGACCCTGTGGCTTTGACAGAAATACTGTTGGAAACCTGTTCATCTATCACCCACTCTTTAGGTAAGTGGCCTTTTCCTGGTTTGTGGTCAACGATGAATTTCACGTTAATACATTCCTCCTCTGGGGGTTGGCTGGTAGAGGAAGTGCAGAATAAGCCTAAGCTGTCAGAGGTAACATTTTGCCTGCCCTTGCAATGTGCTGTGATAATTCTGGTTTTGCAGTAGCTGTTGAAGATGGTACTGTGCAGGGTGCTGTGCACAGAGAAGTGAATTCCTCTGGTGCAAGAGAGCTTTGAAAGGGGAGGAGGAGGAGGCAGATGCAAACTCCTGTGGGTGAGATCTGTCAGGAGTGCAAATTGGAAATGTAGTACGTTTCTCCATGCAGCAGATGGAGAATCCATCTAATCTAATGCAGAATCCAACCTAATCAAGCTATTACCAATTTAATGAAACACTTTCTTCTCCACTTCTTGGGTACATATGCTTTGGAGTGACCCCACATTTTCTCAGCCAGCCAAGGCATGAAGCTCCAAGGCTTTCGGGCAGTTTGTGCTCTCCCTGAGCAGAGTGCCCGTGGGGCTATAAATGCTATTTATGCGATGTTGACAGTCATGGGGCTGCTTATGACTTCAGTACTGGTGTTCCCACTTGTCCTGTGACTGTAATGGTGCCCCAAGTCTCCTCACACCTCACGTGGCTCGTTTCTGGTATGCCTCAGGCAGCACCTACTTTAGAGCTAACTACAAATCCAGAGACCCCTTTGGGGAAAGTTTCTTTTAACTCTCAATCCTCCTGGAATGAGACTTGAACATGATTTTAGCTCAGGAGACCACATAACTTTCTGTGACAAGCTTGTGCTTGGCAGCGTAGGGATTATGTATCCTCACTTGGTGCTGCTTGTTAAAATTTGGATGGTCTATGGCCATTACAGCTCACCAATAGAGCAGTCTGTCATGCACAGGTGCTGTGGTCACATTGCAGCTACACCAGCACTGTTCCCCTTCAATGTCCATGAGCAACGGTAGCGCCGTGGTCATAGCAGAGGCAATGCACAGGGCTTGGTCACCTTCTCAGCCTCCAAGTTGGTCACTTCCTGCCATTCAGTGTGTCTCATCGGGGTACACTGCAGACTGACAGCACAGACGGGCTCAGTGACCACCACAAAAGTGGTCTGGAGACCACGGTGGTGACTGCTGTTCATACAGTTAGTGTGCCTTTGGTTCTCAGTGTGGTTGTGGGTTTTGTTTGTTTGTTTGTTTTTTAAATCCTTTAGAAAACAAAAGCTACACCTCCATAAGAACAGAAGCTTTGTCCGTGGTACAACTGCTGCTCACCAAACTGCAAGGTGAGACTCTTTGCTTGCCACCCAGGAGAGCTGCTGTTGGGTAGAGAAGGCACCTGGCTGCATGTCCTGAAGCCCTGGAGGTGGCATGACCTTCTGCTTGTAGCATGGGGTGATTTTGGGGCAGTGGCAACTCGGGGGTCTGTGCTTGGTGACTGGGGACACTTGGAGAGGGCTTGAAGTAACTGTGGATAAACTCAAGGTCTGAAGTACTGATGGATACTCCTTGGGTGAGGAAGATGTCCCAGGGAGAGCACACAGGACTGGGTGTGTGGTCGGATGCTGCCTTACGTGCAGGCTCCATAGGGGGGAGCTCCTGTTTTTGCAGAAAAGTAGATTTACCCTTTTAATGTGAAGTTTAGTTCCTCATTGTCAATTTAGGATTTAAGCCTTGCAGAATTTACTTCAGAGAATGAGTCTACTTAGCCCTCGAGGTCTTACATGTCTGCAGTTGTTCTCTAGCATGTTTCCTTTGGATTCCTGTTATGCGCTTTGTGTTTCCTTTATTCTAGTAAAAATCGTCTTAAATTACTCGGAGCAGTTGTGAACTGGGAAACATTTGGTTTCTTCAGGCCAAGTTTCACATGTTTCAGGCTGAGACAGTCGAGCCTTCTCTAAAGGAGCAGGAGGCAGCACACGCACCTGAGTGTCCTCCTCAGGCAGTATGGACTGTGTGTGACACATTGAAGTGGTTGCTCTTTCAGCCTGTCAGGGGATGGAGATGGCCTCTTGCTTTTTTTTCTGGCATCCCGGTATTCATGCCCGGTGTCTGTCTGTCTGTCTGTCTGTCTTTACCTACACAGAGGCTCAGCAGTGGGGAAGCCTGACAGCGGAAAGCAGAGAGCACCTCATTCGTTCGCTGGCTACGATGGCGACAGACAGCAGACCCGAGCTGCAAGAGAAGGCATTTATATTGAAGAAAACACTTGAAAATCTTGACTAAGTTGTAAAACGTAAAACTACAAAGTGCCATGTAAAACAAAAACAAAAAAGTGCAGTGGTCTGAACACCAAGTGGGAAAATGAAGATTACTCTGTAGCATGCATCATTCCTGGCCAAAATAAAAAATGCCTTAAATTCTTTTCCCCTTTAATATTATTTTTACTCTTGAAAGCTGATGGTTAGTTGTTTTGTCAGTAAATACCTCTAACAATCTGCCCTAGAATGTTAATAAGCGTACAACATAAAAAATGCTGAGGGCAAGTTGCTTTTTAAATTTTTTTTCCTTTAAATCAGCAAAAGAATGTTACTCAGATCCCCCTTTGTCCTTCGAAGGAATTGTTGAAAAACCACCAGCACAGGAAGTGAAAAGCTGTTTGATTTTCACTTGTGCCATGGGTGGAGATCTTGTTACCTGGTGTGTAAACAGTAAATCCTCAGGACTGCAGCAGAGCTCGTGATTGTGACCTGCGCAGAGCGAAATGCTCCCCCTGATGAAGCCCGTGTAAACCTGTGGCTTCCCAGGGGCAGGGTTTCCTCTGACACCCACCTCTGTTCCTCCTGCTTGCTCCTCCCCTGCAGCCTCTTCTCTGTGAGTTTTGGAAGGCAGAGTACTGTTAACTTCGCTCCTTCCTCCCTCCTCCTCCTCCTCCTCTGACTTCAGCATGGATTGACCGAGGCTATGCCTCCCCCAGATAGCAACCTCGGCCTCCCAAACTTTAAACGAGAACTTGTTCTCCTCAAAGGATGCACAAGAGAGCACTTTACTGAGCTGTGTGTAACAAAGGTTAGTGCCCAGGTGGAACACTGCTCTTCTCAAAATTGTTTTGCATGGACACTCCTCAGCTGCAGGAAAAACAAAAAAAAAAAAAAGGAAGAAAAACAAAAAAAAAAGGAAAAACAATCTTTTCTAGATGATATGTTTTTGAAGAGTGTTCGAAGTTTGCAATGACACATTTTTTTAATAGTGGTAATGTTTTATTCCCTTCCTGTTCGTAACCCTGTTCTTGCTTTGGAAACCTGTAATGATTTAGAATTGTCAATATTTGTAAGAGACTGAAATCATCTGTCATTTCTCAGCAGCCCAAGTCATGCTGGTTTCTAGCAAATACTGTTTCATTTGCACTTGAGAAGAAAGATTATATCTGCATTAACGTGGAGTAAAAATTGCTGTATGATGATGTGGCCATGCTGCCTGTCTCCTGTTCTTGCCCTCCTCAGACAAAAGACGAACCTGAACCACTGTCGCAACAGACTTTTAATCGTGTTAAGTTAGCACTGCACCCTGACCTGACCAGTGCGTGTACAGCTTTTTGGGGATAAATGCTTTGCTGATGGTGAAATAAATAAAATCGTTGAGTGTGGGCAATACCACGTCCGTGGCTTTCGGCATAGGAAGGCTCTTTACTTTTCTTACAGCCCGCAGCTCCTTTCGGAGGCAGCCGGTGGGGGTACCCTCCTCCCCGTGCCCGGGGGTCAGCAGGACCTGCTTTGCCCTCAGGTGCCGTTTCCCACCCAGTCTTTTTTTCTGGTACTGTGACACCCTCCTGGCCTGACGCCCTCCCTCCCCTGGGGAGGCAGGAACACAGCTCCTGCTCACACACACACACACAGAGACACAACCCCCCACCTGTCAGCGGGACGCGGGCAGAGCTGTCCCAGCGCGGCCGCCGAGTAGCAGGAACCTCAGCGAGCACTACTGCACCGTACACTGCCACTGGTCAGCGGGCCACCCCCTGGTGCTGGGAGCTGGTGCTATCACCTTCTGAGTTACACCTTGTCGCAGGGAGCTGCTCTTTGTTTACCTGTAGTTTGACCTCTCGAGCACAGTGTACATTTCAAAGTTTTACCGGGCAAGTCACTTCGCAGTATCTTTGAAAACTTGCTTACCATGACACCATGACATGTAGCGTCATGAGTGCTCTTTTTTCTTTTTTCCCTCTTTTTCTTTTTTTTTTTTTTTGTTGTATTAGGTATTACCAGTGACGCTTTGCTGTAGCAGCTCATTGTCTGACTTGGGTTTTTTTTTATTTTTTTCATATTGGTGAGCGACAGTAACAGAAAAGCAAGAGCCTCCACGTCTCTGGCAATTTCTTCTCACTGTGGACTGGAGTATTCAGAGGCAATGCCTGGCATGGTCAGAGTGACCACGGGCAGAATTAACTGTAATTGTTGTCAATAGCAACCTGAATTTCTCTATTGGGGATTTACACTAGAGGGAAGAGCGTTATTCTAGGAACTCTACAAACAGCTGGGCGAAAAACTCCGGCCCAGAGTGTGAGGAAGGTTAGAGATGGTACAACACTTTCTGAATCACAAAGCAATATGTCTTTCTCGTGATTACAGAATAGATTCAGAGCTCCTCTCTAAAGCACGTGCCTATACACAAAACCTACCTGTACAAAAGCTAATTCAGTCAGAGGTTTGATTTCTACCCCCCTCGCATTTGTAAACTTGACAGGATTAAAAAAAAATAAATAAAATAGAATAATAGAATAAAATAAATAGATGTGGCCTTCCTAGAGTTTTTCCTCTAAAAGTGATTGCACTATGTAAAACACACTGTACTTTGCCCGGCGCGGGCATTTCTTGTGCTGCTGCAATGCTGTGTATACCTGGGGTGCTGCGCGCAGAGCTGGCGCCAGCACTCGCATCCTGACCTACGAGCTGTTGCTTACATGGATGTATATTGAGAAAAGTTTTCTAATGTTGCAAGATCTCCATCAAATTCACTGCAATCTGTACTGTCCGAGTATGTGAATGGTCTGACTGAAAGAAAACCCTCCTGCTTACCAAAAAGGTTAAAAAAAAAATTAAATAAAAGCTGCATGACCTGTTACTTCCAAGTGAGTGGTAGTGGTTTTTTCCCCCACACCGTATTTTACAGGACGGTCCAGAATCAAAGTGCACCTTCCTGTCCTGCCCCATCTGAGGGTGGCCGTGTCACAAACGACAGCGCCCATCTGGTAGGGACCGTGCCAGTTTGGTTTTTAAGCCAACAGCTTGGTCTCTTGCAACCAGACAGGGTTATGGGATGTAGATTATAAATGTGCATTTATATATAGAGTCATAGAATCATAGAATTGTCCAGGCCGGAAGGGACCTCCAAAGGTCATCTAGTGGGACCTCCCCACAGTCAGCAGGGACACCCCCACAGGTGTTCTTACAGGTCAGGCTGGTGTGGGAGATCAGTCTTTGGGGATGACAGAGGAGGAGATTGTGTACAGAGCTCTGTATTGCCATGGTCTGTCCATCCAGTGTCACCAAAAATGGCTGACGGAACAGCAGTCACAAGACCCAAAAAAGGGGGAGCTGTTCCTGATCCCCAGGCCCAAGCTGCCGGCCTGGCAGTGTTATGGAGGAGGTGCTGTCTTCCTAGATGGCGGAAGCCTGTGCTGCTGGACGGACTGAGGTAAGCTTTGCAGCTGCCCAGGATGATGGAGGAGGAAGGAGCTAGACATGGCCTAGGGTGGTGTTATGGTTTGAGAAAACCCATAACAATCTATATCGTCATTTAGACAATTATTCCATCACCCGATGACCCCTCCCCACCTGGAAAGGGGAATCGGGGAAGTCAAGGAAACACAAGTGTTGAAATATAAATAGATTTAATAGACTAAGACTATATAGTTGACAATAATACTAAAGAACCAGTATTAGTCCCGATACTGATATAAGATACAGGAATTCTGCTCAGCCAATTCCATCAGTAGAAGCCGTGCACTCCCAGCAGGGACAGCAAATGGCGGACACTGTGAAATGGCTTCAGGAGGAAGGGAAGGCCTCGGGGGTCCAGCACCGGGGCAAGGGGTTGTCTGGACCCACCACGTCAAGGGAGAGAGAGCTATGCAGCAAACTTTTCTAATTGATATTGAATGTGACCTTCATGGTATGACATAATCTTGTTGGCCAGCCTGGGTCAAATGCCCAGGCCTCGCTCCTCCTTGTCCCTGCACCTGGCAAGGCTTGAAAACACTAAGACCTTGAATCCCACAGAGCCAGGCTGGCTATAAAGTAAATATTTTCACAAATTCAGACCCTAGAGTCTTCTAGAAGTGCAATTTTCCCCAGCATTAGAAGAAAAGTTAGTCCTGTGTCTCTCAACCCAGGACAGGTGGGCAAAGGCTGCTCTCCCCTCGCCCGGGACAGGACTGAGCTCCAGGTAAGACACCCATTTTTGACAGTGAGAGCCATCCTTCCCTGGACGCCGGTCGGATCAGTGCCCGGGCCAGCGCTGCGGGGGCAGATGGGCCGTTGTGACATCACTGCGGGTGAGCGATGGACTGTGACCTCATGTCCCTGGCTGCTTATCTTGGGGTGTCAGCAGAGCCTGGGCCAGCCTGGCTCGTGCCTGGACTCCCGCTGAGCGTGCCTGCGAGGTGTGGAGGTGCGAGCGAGGCTTCTCCAGGTGCTGGGTGGTGCTTTGGGGGCTGCCATCGGCAGCTCTCGGTGCCCGTCCCGGAGCCACCCCCTGTGTTTCCCCGGCCCTGCCTGGTCCAGGCAGCCGGGCACATCACCCCCGGAGAGCACCGGAGGTGAGCTGTGGGGGAAACCTCCCCTCAAGGTGGCCGTGGGGCGGGCAGTAATGTGGGTGTGGGCAGCGGGGCGTCCTTCTCCAGGGGCCTGGGCATGTCTTCCTCCCCTCCCCTGCTCGGGACAGCGAGTGACAGTGGTGGCCTCTCTCCATTTTGCAGCGTGTGACACCCGCCGCTGCGGCACCGGAGAGAAGGAGCAGCTCCTCATCCTCAGCACTCCCCCACCTGCCACAGCTCGCAGGGAGCATGGCCACCGAGAGCGAGTGGAAATGCCCCATCTGCCACAACGATGAAGAGGGCGTCGCCTACTTGTCACCCTGCCTCCACCAATTTTGCTTGGGCTGCGCAGTGCGCTGGGCGCATCAGATGCCAAGCTGTGCCACGTGCAGGAGTGTGACGACGGACATCGTCTTCTCGGTGTGGTCAGACGATGATTACTTGACCTTCGAAGTCCCACGCCCTGCAGAGCTGCCGGCCGAGGACCTCCAGGAGGCTCAGGCGGACGCCTTCCCTCCCGAGGTCTGGGTGGACTTTTTCCAGAGCCACCCAAATAACATCAGGCCCCTGATGCCGTGGCTGCGACGGCAGCTGGAGGTGCTCTACGAGCACCGGTGGTGGGACGTGGCTGCGGCGGAGGGGGCCATCGTGGCCCACCTGTGCGCGCATGGCCTGGACGAGGCGGCGCTGGAGCGGCCGTTGCAGACCTGCCTGCCCGAGCTCACGGGCACCTTCATCCGCCATCTGACCATGGCCGCCGTGCGCCTGTGCGGCAGGGCGCTCCGCCAGCACCTGGCCCAGCAGGAGCCACGAGCTGCCGAGGAGGAGGAGGAGGAGGAGGAGGAAGAGGAAGAGAAGGAGGAGGAGGAGGAGAGCCCTGCTGGATCCAGTCCCAACCCCAGCACCTCGCGGGGGGGCACTCCCGGCCCCCAAGAAGCCTTCTCCAGCGGCCCCGTGGGCTCCCAGCCCCAGGAGGATGCGGGGGAGGCAGCAGCAGCAGGTTCCTGTGCCCAGGGTGGCAGCTGCAGACCCTCTGCTCCCGGCCGGGGCAGGGAGGGCTCACGCGCGGGGCCCCGGCGCCCCCCAAAGAGGAGGGCCCCCGAGCCCCAGGAGTCTCCCCAGCCCCGCAAGAGGCCACCGTGCAAGAGGCCACCCCGCCGGCGGCATTAGCTGGGCGGCCCAAGGGCTTCCAAAGGGAGGGCCAAAGAGCACTGGGAGGGTCTTGTTAGTCCCATTAGTTGATGTTCTTAGAAAGAAAATAAAGGCATTAGAGCTGCAGTTGAAGTCTTGGTGTCACTCACGGTGCAGGTGGCGTGGCTGTCCCTAGCCGGGCTGCCATGGCTGCTGTGCCCACCTTCCCTCTGGGTGGCCGCTGCCACGGGGGCTGAGCGGGACCATCTGGAGAGAGCTGGATGGGATTGCACTGCCCTTTGCCGGGGAGGGGCTGGGCTGTTGGCGCTGGCGGCTCCTTCCAGGCAGCCCCGGTGCTGTTTCTTTGCTCCTGCCCCTGAGAGCGAGTTCTGCTCAGCTCCAGGGCAGACTTTGGTCTTTTCAAGAGCCTGCTTAACAGAGTCCCTTGGGAGGCAGCCCTGAAGGGAAAAGGAGTCCAGAAAGGATGGACGTTTCTCAAGGAGGAAGTCTTAAAAGCGCAGGCGCAGGCCGTCCCTCTGTGCAGTAAAGCGAGCTGTCAAGGGGAAAGACCGGCCTGGCTAAACAAAGAGACAGGGCCACAGCTCAGGGAAAAAAAGAGAGTTTATGGCCGTTGGAAAAAGGGGCAGGCCACGCAGGAAGATTACAAAGGTGTAGCGCAGTTATGCAGGGAAAAGATTAGAAAGGCTAAAGCCCAGCTTGAACTGAACCTGGCCTTGGATGTTAACAACAACAAAAAGAAATTCTATAAATATATTAGCAGCAAGAGGTGGACTCAGGACAGCCTCCATCCACTATTGGATATGGGAGGCAATGTAGTGACAAAGGATGAGGAGAAGGCTGAGGTACTGAAGACCTTTTCTGCCTCAGTCTTCAGTAGTGGAGTAGGGTGTCCCCTGAGTACCCAGACCCCTGAGCCGGCAGATAAGGGCAGGGAGCAGAATAAAGACCCTGTAATCCACAGGGAAGCGGTGAGGGACCTACTCCAGCACCTAGACACAAGTCTGTGGGCCCAGATGGGATTCACCCGACGGTCCTGAGGGAGCTGGTGGAAGTGCTTGCGGAACCACTTTCCATCATCTACCAGCAGTCCTGGCCAACTGGGGAGGTCCCAGCCGACTGGTGTCTAGAAATGTGACACCCATCAACAAAAAGGGTCGGAAAGATGATCCGGGGAACTCCAGGTCTGTCAGTCTGACCTCGGTGCCTGGGAAGGACATGGAACAGATCATCCTGAGTGCCATTATGCAACACATGAAGGACGCTCAGGTGATCAGGCCCAGCCAGCACGGGTTTGTGAGGGGCAGGTCCTGCTTGACGAGCCTGATCTCCTTCTATGACAAAGTGACCCGCTTGCTGGATGAAGGAAAGGCTGTGGATGTTGTTTACCTGGACTTTAGCAAGGCCTTTGTTACAGTCTCCCACAGTATCCTCCTGGAGAAACTGGCTGCTCATGGCTTAGATGGGTATACTCTCCACTGGGTTAAAAGCTGGCTGGAGGGGCGGCCCAGAGAGTGGTGGTGAATGGAGCCAAATCCAGTTGGCAGCCGGTCACGAGCGGTGTCCCACAGGGCTCGTTACTGGGACCCGTTCTCTTTAACAACTTTATCAATGATCTGGACGAGGGGATCGAGTGCACCCTCAGTAAGTTCGCAGATGACACCAAGCTGGGTGTCAGTGTCGACCTGCTGGAGGGTAGAAAGGCTTTGCAGAGGGATCTGGACAGGCTGGATCGATGGGCCGAGACCAATGGGATGAGGTTCAATAAGGCCAAGTGCCGGGTCCTGCACTTGGGTCACACCAATCTCAGGCAGCGCTACAGGCTTATGGAAGAATGGCTGGAGAGCTGCCTGGCAGAAAAGGACCTGGGGGTTTTGGTTGGCTGAACATGAGCCAGCAGTGTGCCCAGGTGGCCAAGAAAGCCAACAGCATCCTGGCCTGTATCAGGAACAGTGTGGTGAGTAGGACCCAAGAGGTGATCATCCGTACTCCACTGGTGAGGCCTTACCTTGAGTACTGTGTCCAGTTTTGGGCCCCTTCCCACAAAAAAGACATTGAGGTGCTGGAGCGGGTCCAGAGGAGGACAACAAAGCTGGTGAGGGGTCTTACGAGGAGAGGCTGAGGGAGCTGGGGTTGTTCAGGCTGAAGAAGAGGAGGCTGAGGGG